TAGCATTTTGGCTCAATAAAACTATATTGAGAGAAATAACTTCAGGGAAAAGTCCCTACCTCTGAGATTTTGGACTTGTTTGAACTTGGTGGATCTCTCCATCCAACAGTCACTGCCAAACACAGGAAACTGAGAAAATGCTTCCTTGTCACTTCACAGCTCAAGAAATCATCCTTGGAAAAGTTCTGGCCCAATAATTCAAGTCTGAAGTAATTTCAACCAGAAGATGATATAATAGATCTTAGTTTTAAGTTCAAAGAGACGACACTTGATAAATGAAAGATAATAAAGCTAGCATTATTAAATGATTTATCAAGCCTCGGTACTGTTGAACAATTCTGTACATGGAAATCAGATTTAACTCCATTTTTTAAAAAATTACTTGAGGAAAAGCTAAAGAGCAAGGAATTCACATTATGCAATGTGTTTATATAAAGTCTTACTTAAGCCACAGTGTTCACAGTAAATCCTGACTCTTACAGCTCTGAGATGATTCTGACATGCCTGTGTGAAATACAGACACACAGGTGAAGCCAAACACACTTCCTAATTCCAACTGCAGGAAGGGACACTGGGTGGCTTAGTGGGTTAAGTGTCCGCCTCTTGATATGGCTCAGGCCATGATCTCAGGGTTGTGAGATCGAGCCCTGCATCAGACTCTGTGCTGGGTGTGGAGCCTTCTAGAGATTCTCTCTCTCCCTCTCCCCTCCAGGCACCATCCCCCCACCCAAAAAAAAGAGAAGAAAGAAAAGGAAAAACACAATAAACAAACAAAAAGCTGCAGGTTATATGTATATGATTCGATCTGTTTTTGGCTCTTTCTAGCTTTGTGAACTTTGACAGTATCTATCCTCTCCAGTATTCAATTTCCTCATCTAAAAGATGAAGGCACAGTCATAATAGTTTTAATTCTCATGAGGAATAAATGAGGTAATTTATATAAAGATCTTGGTACACAATTCCTGGAGTAAAAATAGGGCTATGTAAATGTTAGTTTTAAATGATAACTTTGATTATGATGATAATAATAATAATTATAAACCTGAAATTGAACAGCTATATATAGCCAGGGAAGCATTTTAATATGAAGCCAAAAATTAAGTGGAATCGAAAGGAAACATTCTAATTGAAATCTTCTTGAAGGTTGAGATAAATTGATAGCGATTAAGATATTATGAGAAAGATATCAATTTTTTCTTGGTGATTAGTATATTGTGATAAAAGAGTATTTGCTACATGAATCATATTCTTCTAATCCATGTGACTTGAGCATAAGATGCATGGATGCCCACTTGTCAAGTTTCTTAATAGGGAGACACTTAAGGGGAGGCAGAAAGATGGTTAGGGGGCTCCTCTTTGATTTGCAGTGACCTGTAGAAATATGTCAGATGGGGAGGTCCAAGTAATCTTCAGGTCTTTTGGTGGAGTGATTTGACATACTTTGTGTGTGTGTGTGTGTGTGTGTGTGTGCTTGTGCCCACACTAGTGAGAGAGGGATTGAGACAGAGACAGAGAGATAAATTTGAGAGCAACTGTGTCCTTACTTACCCAGCTGTAATGGCCCCATGGTAGACGATATGACTTATGTTAAACCATGATATGTTTGATTTTTATATATTACTATATTACTTTAAGTAAACGTTGATCCTCAAGCAATTGATTTGATAAAGACTGGGCGACAAACTTGCTCATTTTCCCTTTTTTGTTCACTTGGTCTCCCTGTGGCTGCTTTTCTTGAAGCCTTAATGATGGCGGGCATGTCATTACATCTCTCATAGTTTCTTTAAAACCAGCAAGTGGTACTCGATGATCTCAGAGACTGCTCCCATCTGTCTAGTTCTGTAATTCTGCGATTCTTACAGGTAAGATCTCATATGTGACTCTCACAGGCTTGCATCTTGGACTCTGTGGTTGGTTGTTGGTCCACTTGTTAGTGAAGCCTTTTTCTATTTTCTCTCTCTCTCTCACTCTCTTTTGAGATTTTATTTATTTATTTGTCAAAGAGGGAGAGAGGACGCACAAGCAGGGGGAGCGGCAGGCAGAAGGAGAAGCAGACTCCTGCCTGAGCAGGGAGCCTGATGCGGGACTTGATCCCAGGGTCCTGGGATCATGGCCTGAGCTGAAGGCAGACATCTAACTAACTGACTGAGCCACCTAGGCGTCCCCTTGAGGCCTTTTTCTTCACTTGGAAATGAACACTTACCTTGCCTCTGAGCTGCCAGGAGCCTTTTACTTGTAAAGCTAACTTGTCAGAAATGCTTTAGTTATTGGAAACGTGATGCACAGTCCCTTTGCACAGTGGAGGTGTGGTGTCCCACGGCCCTTGTGCATTTGTCCTCCCATGGTGGGTTCCCTTCAGGCTAATGAACGGTTGCTTAGTGTTATTCATGTTTACACACTTATACCCTTATTATAACCCAGCCTGTTTTCTGGAAAGTGAGTGATAGTCAAACAAGACATTATTACTCTTTAAAATGTATTTCTTTTGTAACATCTGCACCGTGTAGCGTCTTAACCATGTTGGTATCTTTCCTTTTTTGGTGCCACTCTGGCCTTTTCCCCTAATGACTTTCTCATGAATGCCCACTTCTTTTCACTGCTGTTTATGTTTGTTACCTGTTTTGATTTTCTTAGAGCCTTACTGGATCGTTTCTTTGTTTCAGACATCATGTTCTCATGAGAAAAGCAAACATACCCAACGTGACCTGGGACTGGGCCTCTGTTTCTGGAACTCAGGAAAGCTTTTGCTTCCTGTCATCAGTGGGTTTTGAGCATCTGTTTATATTCTCCTAGATTCCTTTCTCTTGAGTGGACAACCCATGAAAGAGAGGTGTTTGGGAGCTTGTGGAGGTCATAAATGAATATGAATCATGCTCTTAATAAGAAATTCCTTATAACTTCTTGATAGCAATAGTAAGAACTATAGTGTATGGATTTGGAGCCTGTCATTTTTAGTGACGAAGCACGCAGACAATAAAACCCCTTTTATTTGGTCATGGCTTGCAATGTGGCTCTTGAAGAACTAGCAAAGAGAACAGTAATGGACACAGAACACTTTTCATAGGGTACCAGTTAAGACAGCACTAATCAGCATTAAAATAAATCATTTGGTCTCTCTGGACCTCCATTTAGTCATTTGTGGGATGTAGTAGTAGGTCTGGAATAGGCTTTCTCACCTCATCCTCAAGACCACTAAGACTCGGGCAATGGGAGTAGTGCGGGGGTTGTGTGGGGGTTTAAATTGTGCATGAGGGCACAAATGTAGTCATCAGGGTTGTTGTATGTGGGGGTGGTGTGGGGTGGTTCTGTGTATTGAAGCACGTCTAGAAGCATCTGTGGCCCCTACCCAGTGAGTAGCACTCCCTTAGTTGTGACAACCAAAATGTCCCCTAGGGAACAAGATTGCCTCTGTGGAGAATTACTGGCCTAGAATCACATATTTTTAAAAACATACAACAAAATAATATGAATCCAAGAGTTTGTGGGCATAATCATCAAAGTTTTATGACAAAATTTCTTCTGAGAGTCACATAAATGAAGAACAGTTTATTTCACTTTGCCTCCTTAGAAGCCTTTCTTCATAAGTTTTTTAAAAGATTTTATTTATTTATTTATTTATTTATTTATTTATTTATGATAGAGAGAGAGAGCAGGAGCAGGGGAGCAGAGGGAGAAGGATTGCAGGAAGCAGGCTTTCTGTGAGCAGAGAGCCCTATGTGGGACTCAGTCCCAGGACCCTGGGATCATGACCTGAGCCAAAGGCAGACACTTAACCAACTGAGTCATCCAGGTGACCCTCTTGATAAGGTCTGAATACGGCTATGTATTTTTTCCTTTAAATAAAATTTGAGGACTCAGTTATCAACGTGTAAAAGAGAACACAGGAGAGACACCTTTGAACAAATAATGCTTTATGTGTGTAGACTAACACACAGAGTTGGGACAAGGAGTGGTTACTCAACATAGGCATTAAAGATAAGTTCTGGCATGTAAGAGATATTCTAGAACATTGTTGGATGGGTGGACAGATGATGGATCTGTATTACTCATGTGGTTTTGGGAACAGTATTTCATCAGTGACAAAAATAGTGGTCATAGAAGCCAAGGAAAGAGGTCACTGGAGAACCCCTTTCGTTCTTCCAAGGGTCCCTTGGGGGTCCCTGCCTGTGTCTGCTCTTCCACAGCATTTTCTTCTACTTCTCTCCCCAGCCCTGTATCCTTTCCTTACTTGCTCCCCCTGTCCTTTATATTTGTTGCCTAGATCGATTGTATTGGAACTTTGCATATTGTATCATTTCTTTGTATCAGACATCATGATCCTATGAGAAAACAAAACCTACCACTTTGACTGGGAATCCACATCTGGGCATTCTGAAGTAAGGACTGAATCATTCATTCCTCTCTGGTTGTTTGAATCAAAACTAGTGATGTGATTCCCGTTCTTTGAAAATCACTTATGACTCAATTTTTAGAGTCCCATGTCTTTCTTTGATAATTTCTTCCAGAATAATTCAAGTTTTTGGTCAGAGGAACCTGTGTCGACAACTGTGATGGATGGATTTTGCTGGTGCCCTCCTAATGGTGTTATTGATCTGGCAAAGGAAAGTGTTTCCTCTCTTTTATAGTTAAAGAAATCGAGGCCTGGGTTTGTTCAGACAGAAAGCTTAATGTCTACAATAAGCGAGTAGTTATACAGGGGTTAGAACAGCTGAGCCCAGATCTGTGGCACCAAGATGGAAGACAGAATTGAGGCATGATACATAATTTGATACAGAAGTCTTAATTTTATGGTACCAGAAGATTGAAACTTTTTTTTGTGCTTTGTTTAAAATGATACTAAATGATAATTATCCAAGGTGGTTACTTTACAATACCACAGCTTTGATTTAAGGGGACTAGCTTCTCTAAAATGGACAAACTACTTAACGTCGAATGTCGAGAACTTTCTTTAGAGTTTTATTTTAGTAAATGTTGCTCATGACCTGCTTTTTCCTCTCTAGACCTTCTCTCACCATGCCTCACAGGAACCTGACAGGAAGCTGCAATGTTAATTGTGGTTGTAAGATACACGAGTATGAGCCAGTCTGCGGATCAGATGGAATTACATACTTTAACCCTTGTCTGGCTGGCTGTGTTAACAGTGGTAATCTTAGTACTGGGGTGAGTATTTTTCGCAAGTTCCTGTACTTTTGTTGATCCAACATCCTGTGACAAGACATGTTAGGATTCACAGGCTAACACGTGGCTTCTATTCCTCTTTTCAAGAAATTTCAAATAACCTACAAAATACATCTTGACAAAAAGCCAGAGGAAAGAAAATTATGCAATGCTATCATTTTCTTCAGGGACGAAGGGAACATGTGGGTGCAGTGACTTATTTCCACATCAGCCCTCTCCCACTTCACATTCTGTGCCAACTCAGTGAAACGTGAGAAGGTTGAATGCTAGGCCTCTCATTTCTTACTCTGCCAGGGCCCTTGTGATGCATTTGAAGGTCAAGATGACCACATTTGGTGCTGGCAGAAGAGAATAGGTGAGCATCTTCTCTGATCAGAGTCTGCGAAGATGGGCAATGACCATTTTTCATAGAATATGAGTTCAAACTTTCTTTTTCTTTCTTTCTTTCTCTCTCTCTTTCTTTCTTTCACTTTCAGAGTAAAGATATTTCTGTCAGTTCAAGAATAGGCTATTTTGAGAATTCCCTTCCCTGTGAATTATAAATAAGCTGTAATACTGTGGGAGGTTTTCATATTCTACTCAGTTCTTTACTGAGCCTGATTTCATTCTTTGCATAAGGACAGATTGTAGGAGGCTGCTTTAATTAAAAAGTTAAGGTGCATTGGCTTGTATTGTGTAGGTGTTAAGGGATTAGACCATTGACGGTATGTTTTGGGTTTGTCATATTTGATTTCTGAGTTTTAAGCTATACTGATAAATGGAGAAATCCTGTTGCTGGCTCCCCATTATATAATTGGTGTGTGCCAAGCTGGAAGAGACAACAAGATCTGTTCTCAGTGGCTAAGTCCTTCCCTGGGAGTGAGCGAGGGAGTCCTCTAAGGCACAGTCCTCATTCTTAAAAAGAGGCCAGCAGTCCCTGAAGCACAGATGGCCAAACGGTTCCCATTCTCATATTTGTTGCTACTGCTTCTCTAAGTGGCTGAGAGCTCACAGTGACAGGGAGTTCAAGCCTGATGTCTGTTCAGTAAAAACAATGTAAGAGGCAGAAAGAGTCATTGGTTGCTTTTATTTGAAATACCTTTTTAAGTCCTTGAATTAGCTTTTTTCAAACGAAACAGTCAATGATATGTTCCCTGGTCTTGGCCTTGGAGTCATCAACGGCTGCATCGCGTGTTCTCTGCATTTATTTAACAAATATTTATGTTAGGTCCTACGCTGTGTCCAGGTTGATGCCGGGGGCTCTGGTGGGCACAAGTAAACAGAAAGCTTGGTTCCTGTTTTCGAGGGGCTTCTTTAATCAGACAGCCCAAGAATTGCACAGCAGTGGGAGCAGGATATAGTTGTGACCAAAATGAGCATATGGAATGTGAACGCTGTGGAACAGAGTGCTGAAAGCTCCTTATAAAAGTTTAGGTTTAAACGATTTGGCCAGCAGACACTGTTGGATGCACACTTTAGATCATTACTGTTAGCAAGGAGGCTGTATTTTCAGTTAAATATTATGCATATTTTTAAAAATTTAAATTCAGTTAGCCAACATATAGTACATCATTAGTTTCTGATGCAGAGTTCTGTGACCCAGCAGTTGGGTGTGATACTCAGTGCTCATCATATCACTTGCCCATCTCCCAATTACCCCATCCGCCCTATCTACCTCCCTTCCAGCAACCTTCAGTTTGTTTCCTAGAGTTAAGGGTCTCTCATGGATTGTCTCCCTCTCTGATTTCTTCCCATTCAGCTTTCCCTCCCTTCTCCTATGAGCCTCTGTTGTGTTTCTCATGTTCCACATATGAGTGAGGCCATATGATAATTGTCTCTCTCTGTTTGACTTATTTCGCTCAGCAAACATTACCCATTCTTAAATACTAGAGCTATTTTAGAGCATTTGACTTTGTCCTAATTTTCCTATGCTTTAGGTTGGCTCACAACCCATCTTTGCTATCCCTTAGATAAGGAATTACACAGAATGCACCTGTGTCCAAAGCCGGCAAGTGATCACTCCACCCACGGTGGGACAGCGCGGTCAGCTCCGTGTGGTTATTGTCAAAACCTATCTCAACGAGAACGGCTATGCTGTGTCTGGGAAGTGCAAAAGAGCCTGCAATACCCTTATCCCATTCTTAATTTTTCTCTTCATCGTCACCTTCATCACAGCATGCGCCCAACCGTCAGCCATCATAGTGACACTCAGGTGAGAACAGCACTCTGCTTGCCTGGTGGCGGGAGGCAGGGGTGTACACTGAGAATGGCCAGAGAACACGTTCCAAGCTGGGACTCGTGTGGTAAGGTGGAGAGGAAAGCAGAGTTAGATTGTACGGGGAAGCACTCAGACCTTTGCTTGTTGAATTTATTAAGAGAAGTGTTTTCCCAGATCAGGAAGGGAATGGAAGGTTGTAATGTTTCATACTCCAGAACGTTCGTTATTCAGATGGGTTCTAGGTTTGCAGTTTAGTGAAACTTCTTTGGGGTGCCTTTTGTTCCTGAAGTCTGTGCCCTAAATGGTTCAAGTTCAGGGGCTGAAAGCTATCACCATGTTAGGCACAAGGAGCCTGACTCCCAGACGGGGCAGGAAGTCATTCGGCGAAGTCTCTAAGTCTCGCATACAGCGAAGAGTATTATCTCCAACCTGGTAGGTAGGTAGTGCCCCCAGGATCAGTGGACGTTTCATGCTGGGCCTGCAGTTCAAAATGCAGATTCCATGAATTGTACGATCATATAAAGTTTTGGAGTTGAAACAAGGAAAGGACAGACTGGGAGATGTCATTTTCCAGCTGTTCATGCTGTGTTTTATTAGGTATCCCGTTTGTGGTTTTTTGCTTATAAGAGAACACAGGCGTTGCTTTAATAGAAGTCCTGTTAAAAATGTTGACACGGACCCATTCAGATCAGTGTGTTGGCATTTGCAGTAAAAGCTGCAGTGGGCAAAGGAGGGAAGGGGACAGCATGGTGACGGAAATGCATGCCCCCAGAAGCAGCTTCAGGGGACCAGCAGAGGCAGTGCAACAAAGGAGTGAGGAGGAAAGGGAATCAGTCCTCATTCTCCTTTTACCTCTTCCCTGGCTTCTCAGCACCCCCCAGTGCTGGGCACCTGGTGGTCATACTTGCTGGGATGTCATTCTTAGCAGGACAGTTGGGCTGTTTGCTGCTGCTTCTGTACATTTTGGCTTCCTTTCTTTATGGGATACTGAGTTAGATGTATGATAACAGCACCGGGTGGGAAGGCCCGTTGGTTGAATCTCTCAATTCCTCCGACAATGGATACTTACAGAGTGACAATGGTGTGTGCAGCATGGGGCAAATTGCTAGGAAAAGATAAGGAAGGTGGGGAGAAGATGGCAGGTGCATGGGTCCTGGGGAAGTGGACATGCTTTACCTAGAACTCAACGTGTATGACACAGAAAAGATCAGGCACTTCATCATTTTAAAAAATGAATCCTTAATAATCTCATTCTTGAAACTTTAATTCTGCAAGAGATATTAAATAACCCAGATCAGGGCTGCCCATGTCATGGCAAATCACCAGCTGGCTTCTAACCCAGAACTTCAGAAAAAGAGCCCTTTAATCTTTGCTAATTACAGATCAATAGACTCCAGTCTTCCTGCCATATAGGAATTACTTGGAGCATATGTTTTGGGAAAAGAAGAAAAACATGAGGTGGTGGGAGGGATTCACTCTTTTTCTAATGTTTGACTTGTTTTGCAGCCTTTCTTGGGACTCAACTTCTTTCTTTAAGTTCTTTCCTCTGTACTTTCCCTTGAGAAATTACAGGAATAACTTTCAGTCGACACACCTGCCCTCTGGAAAGTGTAGGCAAATAGAAAAAAAAAATGCAGTAGTTAGGATAAATTATCGTATCTATTTTTTGACGGAACTGATTTTATTTATTTATTTTTTAAAAAAAGATTTCATTTATTTATTTGACAGACAGAGGTAACAAGGAGGCAGAGAGGCAGGTAGAAGAGAGAGGGGGGGAAGCAGGCTCCCCATTGAGCAGAGAACCTGATGCAGGGCTCGATTCCAGGACCCTGAGATCATGACCTGAGCCAAAGGCAGAGGCTTAACCCACTGAACCACCCAGGCGTCCCTCACAGAACTGATTTTAGAAGCTCAGAGCTGATTTTGCCCCTTCAACCATGAACCTTTGGCCCTCCACCAATATTTACAGAGTTAATCAGGACTTCTTTGAGTCTTCAATGGGGAGAACTCATTCACTGATTTAGCTACTTCAGCAGACTTGTTTGGCTGTTGTTAATAAATTCTAGGAAATAAATATTTTGGCACAGCCGCTCTTGCTCTCTGGCTCTGTACTAAGCAGGCGTGATTTGATGTTTGTTTTCTTGAGGCCAATGTTATAAAACATTTCTTTCTTTCCCTTCACCATAGGTCAGTAGAAGATGAGGAGAGACCTTTCGCGCTGGGAATGCAGTTTGTTTTACTGCGAACACTTGGTATGTTCCTGAATTTCCGCATGGGCCTCTTAGTTCCTCTTTACAGATGGCAAATTCTCATGGTCTTTTAAAAAATGGCAAGTCGATCTTTTGTTACCCTTAGTAGTAGCTAGGATTTTATGGGTTAGCGGCAAGGGCACAACTTTCTTATTTTCTGATTTGAACTAGAAGCTACCCAGTCCTGTCGTTTGAGGAATCAGAATACAATGGACTTTAGAACAGTTTCTTTTTCACCATAAGCATAAATGTGGGCTAGATTCCCTAGAGCGTTTTTGGTACCATAAGAAATATTGAACCAAGCTATTATAGTGGGCTTATTATGATCCTGGCATTTTTGTCCCTTTATGACTTTTTTTCACATGAAAGTGATGGAAACTGGCACTCGTATTATTTGCAAAGATTTTAATTTCTTACTTCTTTATAAGAATTTTATTGGGCCAGGCAAAAAGGATACCTATTGAGTTTTCTGAGAAAAGAAATTAAAAATTCTGAAAAGAAAAAAGAAATATCCCCAAATTGATACATCAGGAGTCCCCTTTACTTATTAACAAGAGCAGGTCATTAGCACGGTCTGTATATGGCAGAATTCATTAGGGCGTGAAGAACATCGTTCTGATTTTGACAAACACGGTCTCACTCTGTCGTGTTTTGGGACAATGCATGGGAAATATCTTGTGAAGTAGCCCATTGCCTTGATCAATTTCAACGTATTTTTTATTGACTTCCCCATCATCAAGCACATTTTTTCTTTCACGAGTGGCAGTCTGTCATTTTCTTCAGCTGTTTTTTCTCCCAGTAATCAGTATCATTGTCCATAAGACAAAAAAAAAAAAAAGAAAGAAAAGAAAAGAAAAAGAAATAGGTTTTTTGATTTGAATTTTTAATTTCCATTTTGAAGGGTGAAACACTTTAAAATGCTATCATTTGACCCTCTGAAACATTAATCTTCTCTGGAATTCTCAATTTATCATTACGCTGTGGTTGGTGGCCCAGTCTGGGAGTAGGGAGTTTTCTCCGGTCACTCTCAGAGGTTTCTGGTTGCATTGAGTGGGTGGCTTATTTTTTTGGTACCGATAAAACTCTGAAGGTCCCATTTTTCAAAGCCAGCTGGCGAAAGGAAATTCTGGCATGCTTTGATTTACTTAAGAAGCTTGCCTTATACTTCCTGTTGAAAACTAAAAAGTTGTTTTCAAAGAAGGAAATTTGTTTAGCGAAGGGGTAGTTGAATAGGAAAAGAAGAAATAGGTCCTCCTTTTTGCTCTGCTTGTCTTTGATGTCATGGAGCTGGGGTAGTTTCATATGGAATTGGAGGTAAATGTAAGTCAATAGAGGGTTGTCGCAGTGTCAGGAATAAGTGAAAGGAGGACATTTCAGTCATCTATTTAATTCAGACTTGACTTAAGTTCTATTGATTATGAAAAAGCTATAGTTGGGCCAACAAACCAATTTCCATTCCCCAAAATTCCAAACAAAAAGGGAATTTTAAGTATTTTAGTAATGTTACATTTTAATTGTAATGAACATGTCATTTGAAATGAATACAATATATTTAAAAATATATCACTAAGTCCACCGACTTCCCTTCCTTCCTCTCTTTTCTCTTTTCTTCCCCCTTTTCTCCCCTGCTCCTTCTGATCACTTCCTTGTATAAACTCATCGAGGATCCATGGGCTGTCCTGAGGGGTCCTCGGGACGCAAGGAATAAAAGACTTGGCCTCTGCCATCTAGGAAATTATGGGAGACAAATCCGCAAACACTTTCATTGCTACGTGATAGCTGGTGCAATGAAGGTGTATACAAAATGCAGTGGGAATACAGTGGCATCTGAGTGAGTGAGGAGTTTAAAGGAGGGTTAGATGATTGTAAGGTGAACAATATGGGGATGGGGCACATTTCAGCAAAGTGAGTAACATATGGTGAAGGAAGTCTACTTGGGTAGACTTTCTTTCTTATGGGAGTGAAGAAATGTCTATCTCATTGCCCAAACAACGAAGCTACTATTCATCACAGATATTTCCCAAGCTTCAAAGATGAATTTTATGCCTTAGTTATTTCCATGCCCCAAATATCTTTATACAGTTTGCCATTTGATGTGGTTTCTGGCTTATAGGGGACAGTGTTTTCCTCGTACTCTTCCCGCACCCGAGGACTAGAACCCAACCCCGTAAGAACTAAGTGTACTGCATTTTAGTGGTTCATACAGGGTCTTAGTATAGCCTCTTGAGTATTTAATGACAAAATCTGATTTTTAAGTTTAAAAGGATCACCTGATTGAATTTTTTAGCAATCGACATCTTTACATATAACATAGAACAATAACGTATTCTGACTGAGTGGCAAATTGGAAGATTTAAAGTATTTATAATTCCGTGAACGTTTTTATAATACCTATATTATAATATAGGTATTATATTATATTATAATTCTATATCTTATATTATAATAAGATATCTTATTATATCTTATATTATAATAAGATATTATAATATTATAGTATAATAAGATGTGCCATAGTTAAAACAGTCACTTAATACAAGAAAACCACTGTCCTCAACTGGTCGGAGAGCAAACAAGCACCTTGCTCATCTACAGATCTGTTTTCTCTGATAAGATGGGCTAAACACCGTTCTTGTCTTCTTCTCTCCCGCTCTAGCATACATTCCTACGCCAATTTACTTTGGCGCCGTCATCGACACCACGTGCATGCTCTGGCAACAGGAATGTGGAGTGCAAGGCTCTTGCTGGGAGTACAACGTGACATCGTTCCGTTTTGTCTATTTCGGTTTGGCGGCTGGCCTCAAATTTGTCGGCTTTATTTTCATTTTCCTGGCCTGGTACTCCATTAAGTACAAGGAGGATGAGCTGCAGAGGCGACAGTGGAGAGAATTCCCTCTGAGCACTGTGAGCGAGGTGGTGGGTCACACCGACAAGGCCGAAAAGTATGCCCGGACTAGATCGTGCCCGGCTTTCAGCAGCCAGGGGGATTTCCGCGAAGAGACTGGTCTGCAGAAAGGGATCCAGTACACAGCACAGACCTATCCGGGGCCCTTCCCCGAAGCAATAAGCTCCCCCCCGGACCCGGGGCCGGAAGAGAGCCCTACTGCCATGTAGCCTCCCTCCTGAAGCTTGAAAACGGAAGACTTTAGTTTTGTTGGTTGAGTTGAATATGGCAACTTGAGAAACACCCGTGCCTTCTTTTCTTTCTTTCTTTTTTTAACCTCTAAAGACGCAATCCTCAAACCAACAAAACTCAGTATACACAGCCACTATTGAGTGAGGGCTGGATACCTCAACTAGACTGAGAGCCTTTACCCCCTTCTCTCCAAGAAGGAGGAGTTTAGACAGATTTGTTACCCTTTTCCGCTATGTGAATTTCATGCTCGTGCTCTAGGGTGGCATAAGGCTGAGAGGCGCCTGGTTATTGAAATTTTGGGAAGTGTATTGGCAGTACATATCATTAGCATACACTCCAGACAAAGGTGAGCTTGACCATGACTTTGCATTTACAAATCAGTTTTTAGATATGAACACATACTGTGAGTTCCGCTACAAAGCACAAACGAATTTGTCTCAACTATGCAATTTTGATTGGGAAAATGTAAGTGCAGCATGTTACTTTTTCTTTCAAGAGACTAAAGCAGATACATTTTTGAAAAGAGGACAATAAACCTTCCCTAAAGTACTGTTATTAGCATTTTAAGCCATAGCAGAGTTATAAATCAGGTAGAATTTTTCAAATGCTTCAAAGGAATCATATGCATAGTGTGATAAAAGGAACAGCTACTTTATTTCATAAGACACTTCCTTTTTTAGTCTGTCTGCCCCATCATAAGGTAAAGAGTCTGCTGAATCATAAATCTGTTAGCTTGAATTTAAACTCTGGTATTCTTTTGCCAGGGGCTTTAAAACTAATGTGCTAAACAGTATGGCTGGAACCTGATTTAAGATGCCTCATAAGGAGAGAAACTGATGGCTTTCTCATCCAAAGAAAAATGCTGCAGAAATTCTTTTATCTCTTGTGGGCCCACACAAGGGTAGCTAAGAATCGTAACCTTGACACTCAAAATAGTTGGAAAAAGAAATTCCACAGAGGTAAGACTGAGTCCCATCTGATCGTTTTAGTTATATGCCTAGAAACCCTAGCGAATCATTTTCTTTCTTATGTACAGAAAATTGCTGTGGTTGCCCCCTGAAGTTGAGTAATTAAATCAGGAAAGCTCATACCTGTGATAAGAAAATCACTCTGAATACAGGAGGAGGCGGATCTGTGAGCTGTGAGAGTATCATCCTAAGTCAGGACTGAAAATTACTTAAAATCAACTCATCTGTCATACTGAATTCCCTTTATCAGAGCTAGAACGATTTTACATCTCTCTTTGATTCTTTCCTACTGTTAACCTTCCCGAAGTGATTCTTTGAGAGGATTTCTCTGTTCCTAAATGCACTTTGCGCTCATTATCCATCATTCTTTTGAGTCCCTCCCAGAACATCGCTTTGACTTAGGTGCCACACAGAATGCTTTCTACATGGTTCTTAAGGTAGATGCTTCCTGACAGCACTCTGGACTGACAGCAAGTTAACTCATGGGGTCTTGGCTGCTCAGAAAAAGAATCCTGACAACCCGGACGTCGGAGGGACGCGGAAGGTCCAAATACCAGTATAATTGTGAACAGTTTCTGCCAAGGAGGCTATGATTATGTAGGGGCTAATTTAGGAACTGATTTCCTTGGCTGGCTTACACTCTTCTGTAGAGGGGAAATGAGTGACAGAACTGTCCCGTGATTCAGGCTTTCTGCCCTTCATCCTTGGAGGCGCTGGTGGAGTTGCGTGAACATTCCTGGGTTCAAGGTCATTTTCCTCTCCACCTAAGAACGGTGTTGTCAAATGGTTCTTTTGGTGGCATGTGGTTTGTGGCGAGGGTTATCACTATTAGACAGAATAATGTCTGGAAGGGGTGGAGCCAGTGGTCTCAGGTGACAAGGACTTCCCTCGAAATGGTCTCATTTGGCTGAGTCGTAAGTCTGCTGTTGCCTGTAATTACACTGGTGTCTGTCCAACTTGTCTCCATGTGGTATATACAGAGAACATTGTTGATTCACTTAGTGTCTACTCTGGTGCCTCAGGGTTCCCTTTTACTCTCTATGGGAGATCTTTGATCTTTTAGGTCTGTTAGAAAGTTTCCTTTTGTGTTGGAGCTGAAGATATACAGGTTGGGGAGAGGTGGTATTTGCAAAAGAATTGCATCGGGAGAATTTGGATGGAATTAGCACCTTTTTTTTTTTTTTTTTAAAGCTTAGATTGTTATGTTCCAACACTCTTAGGATCTGTCTCTTCCTGGTAGTGTATTTTTTTTTTAAGATTTTATTTATTTATTTGACAGACAGAGATCACAAGTAGGCAGAGAGAGAGGAGGAAGCAGGCTCCCTGCTGAGCAGAGAGCCCGATATGGGGCTTGATCCCAGGACCCTGGAATCATTACCTGAGCTGAAGGCAGAGGTTTTAACCCACTGAGCCACCCAGGTACACACTGGTAGTGTATTTTGAAAAGGAGCTGCTCTCAGAACTCCAGGGTAGGAAGTGACAGATTCTTCACGTATAATTAGAGAGTCCCCTTTCTTTACACTGAACAGTCATCCATCCAGTTCAGCAACCAATGACCAATTCTCTATCAGGCACTATTTCAGCCAATTACCATCTGCTGCTCTGTGAAATTCTTCAGGTCGACTGGCCAAAACTCAAAGAAATTAGCCTAAATTGTACACCACGATTGTTAATATTGTACTTCCTCAAGTATGTGATACTTATAAATAAAGGGTGTATCATTCATGTGTTGTTGGTTAATGTAGAATAAGTAGTAAAAATCACGGAAGACTGAAGTTTTAGAATACATACCAATCAAGAATTGTCCCCCAAATGCTTTGGGTCCTGGTGGCATCCTTGGAATATTGCATAGTCAACTAAAGTGACTATCTTATAAATGGCACCATTTAAGTGTAGATATGAGGTTCTCACATGTTGCTCACTTTACAGTCACAACTCCTATTTTAAATTTAATTCCCATTTTCCATGAACTTAGGCTTCTAAATACTTGTTTTGGAAAAAGGTCATCTTGTTCTTTTTTCAGCCCTGTAGATTAAGGTATTATTTGGCTTCATAGGCAAATATAATACCCTTGAGTCTAGCCTATTAATTTAGAAACTCCCAGGGGGAGGGTGCGTGGTTGAAGCACATTTTTGTTATCTTCATTAGTATGAAGTCCTCTTTTAGGTAGGTTTAATTCTTGAAAACTTTCAAAAGTCATTCAGAACTAAGGTCAGAGGAGAAAGGAGGAGCAGAGAAGAAACAAATTAGCTTTTGTGGAGTGTTGAGTATTTCAGAGAATTTTGTCAAGTATTTAACATACATCATTTATTTTAATACTGTTAATAACTTTGCAAGATAACTATTTTTATTCTTTTTTTTTTTCTTCTTAAACAGATCATGAAAACAGGCTCAGAGAGGCAAAGATATTCGTTTAGGATTGTACAGAGTGGCCAAGTTAGTGTTCAGAAGCAGGTTTCTATCGCCATGGCTTGCTTCTCACACTATCAGATGCCTACAGTGGTTTTGGTTAACAAAGGCAAGTGTGACTATAATTTAGTGAGGTAAAGCATTTCATTTTTTGATGTGTTACTGTTCCTGAGGAGTAGAGAAATTATTATTCCTTTGTGTAGAATAGAAAAAAAATTTGTAGGAAACATCAAAATTTAATGTTTAGATTTTCAAGGTAAATTTACACTTATTTAGCTAAGTGTTATATTCAACATTGTCATAACATACCTCAAGTATTTATTTATAGTCCATATTTAATATAGAACAAACCAATTTTGATGTTAGCATTGGGTCTCGGTAGAATTTCTGGAATGAATCATGAGGAAATACGGTTCAGATTTATTGAATCTGAGCTCTGGGGATTTGAAGTGTATGCTTTCTTGTTTGTTTCTTCCTCTTTCACATTGTTAACATTTCCATTAATTTTTAGTGAATATGGGTTTTAAGTTTCCTAAATAAAAGTTTTAAATGAACAGAAGCAAAGTGTTACATGTTAAATGAACATAGATTGTCACTATTAGTAGTTGTGGTCACAGATGGGAGCATGTACTTGGAAACGCAGGCATCAGAGAAGGAGGAAGTCATAATGGCCATCCTGCATTTTCACGAACTACAAAGAAGATTCTTCCTCAGTCTGCAATTCCAGCTTGCATTCTTTGGTGGACTTGGAGCCAGAAAATTTCTTTTTGGAGCCTGTTTTGCATCAACCAAAGAGCAGCTGCATGGTTTTTGAATGGACCTGAAGCATTCATGGAAATTCTGTAGTATGCCCAGGAGCGGTAGGAGAGCCCAAGTCTAGGCGGGTAGCCTATTATACTTTAAGTGTGTGTGGACTTCAGACATCCTCGATGTCGCAGAAACATGAGTCTAACTATTGCATTAGAGGGGCATACAGAGTATTCTAAGTAGCCGATAGATATCAAAATACTGTATAATCCCAGAATTGCCTAGACTGCAGGTTTGCTAGTTCTGTTTTCCAGACCAGTATGTAGCCTCTGCACGTTATTTGTAGTTCCTGTTTCCTGGTGTGGAAGGGTGTGCTGTGGCGGACAGGAGAAGGTGGTAGCCTTGTGCACTTTATCTTTTCTGTTTTCTCTCCTTTCCTCATCTTCCAGGTTGCTGCTGGCTGTGTCTGTCTCAGGCTTCTTGCTACATTGGAAACAGATCTGTATATGTTTGAACAGGTCCTTTCAAGCACTTCATTTTTACTCAGCCTAAGAAAGGTCAAATAGGATGAAAATCCTCCTTGGGTATTGGCTTTTGCAACATAAAAAAAAAGCCTCGGTGCTACAAGTATTTAATGATGCATGCTCACCACAAAAATGCACCACTGAATTTACAGTCTCCCTGGTAAGGGACCGCATGTGCTTTGCTTTTGGAAATCTAGAGAACGTCCCAGAAAACAAGCACTCGTTATTCTCATTACTATAGTTAGTCAATGAACTTGACGCTGCAAACATGAAGACTAAGGGGGCATACCTTTTTTTATGGAAAACTCAGTGCTTTTCGTATTTCTTTTAGCAAGAATAATCAGATGCTACAAATAATTTCAGAGAGAGGGGAAAATGATTTCACATAACCTTTTTTATTTCTTTTCCCAAAAAACTGACACCCTTGTGAGGTGTTTTTAATAACTGGGGTTTGGATGGTGTTGTCTTTTTCTGGTATTCTATTCCATGTTAAAATCAGAGGAGGAAACTATCCAAAACTAAAATAATTGCAGGGACATATTAAACCAAAGGGGGTGAACAGTTTAAACTTTGTATCTAGAAATGAAAAAGAAGAATAATCGATAAAACTTTATAGTGGGCATTTTTCTTAAAATACATACCTCTACCCCAAGCCCCAAATGTTAATTTAGAAGCACGGAATAGGCAGATCCACCTCTAACTTTTCAGTTAAAGGAGATGTAATACTGTGTCAAATAAACTGGCATTAGGATCCTGGTGGAGTGTGTGTTCAGTGTGTGTGTTTTGTGTGAAAGTGTGTTGGTGATGAAAGGCCATTTTGAGTTGTTGCATAAAGGAATTTGACTTTGTGATTTTTACAATGAATATTTATTTGGAGATCTCTTAGGGGTAATTTAAAAGATGTATAATTTCCTTGTATTTAATGAAATCTCTTGTCAATGTACTAATAAACCTTGGTTTACAACATCTTGAATACTTGATCACTGAAAATTAAGAAAAAAAAGTAAAAAAAAGAAAAGAATAAAGTGTGTTGGATTGAAATTAGTTTGTCTCTGAGCTCTCTCCTGTTGGACAGCAGAGTTTTCTAAGGCATCCAAAACTTTTTGGGTGAGAGGAGGAGGGAGGCAGAGGAGATCCGGAAATAACAGCATGAGTCAGGGACTGGAGCACAAAGTGGTTATTTTTAGAACCTTGCCTGGAGCCCTCCATAGGTGTAAAGCAGGGCAATTGATTTTCATTTCTCACTCAGTCACCCCTCCTGCTCCGCTCAACTAAAGGGTCACAGTGGCTCAAGATACAGGAGTTCCTGGGGGGACGTGTGTGTCTGTGCTGGTTTCTGGATAAACTTACTTTCCTCCGTGGCCTTGTGCATTCATTGTGGAGGCCATTTATGCAAAGGGAAGATAGTACCCTCTTCCCCAGTCTATGTTCTTCTCTTCCTCAATGTGTGCCATTAAGGCAATTTTGAGATTTCACTCGATTCTCTTAAATATCTCACACATTCAAGGGAACAGCAGAATCATTCCAGATATTGGGCTTTCTGAAAGAGACACACCAGACAGTTTCTTTTTAAGAAATGAGGAGAGAGGAAAGGTTATGAATGTGGCCACTCATCTTGCATTAGCTCCAGACTTGGTACAACCTCAGCATCTTAAGAGCTGTTAAAAAGCATCCAGTTCTTTTCTTCTTTTAAAAATTTGCCAGCTGAGCGAAGACAGCCTCTGTAGCTTTGGCATAGGGGCCGGTGGGGGGGCGGGGAACAAAAAACCCCATTTTTAATTGTGCAAAGTCATTGGAAAACAAGGAGATCGATATTTGGTGTTGACTTTTGTATTTAAACGTCAAAGTCTGATGCAGTTCCTACTCATAATACCAATATACATCAGTAGAAAGCTAAAACCCTTCTTTGGTCTTCTGGAATGGCTGAGATCCTAGGTAAATGGCCAAGATCCTAGGTACCAAAGAAAGAGCAAGCTTGCCATGGATCAAGTTGTTCTAGCTGCGTTCTTGTCTAAATGTACTGCTGCTACTTCAGAAATCGATGAAATGGCAGCTTTGCCAGGGGCGGATCCTGGCTGGAAGGAAGCCTGTCATGAGTTGCACTAGAGTGACACCTAATGGTTATTATGGAAATTACATGCTTTACTAACCTCTCATCCCTTCCAGTTCTTGGGCTTGAGTTGTATGGGGGTTTTTGTGACCACGTTCATTTTAGGGTGGCAATGACCCGTCCTCTTTTGCTGAAACCCATTAGTAATTGGATTGGTTCCACTCTGGCTCTGGGTCACCTGTGCCATTGGGGCTGGAGTTTGGATAATGAGGAAGAGGACCCGGGGTAGAAGACACAGATTCGGAATTCCTGGGTCCTGGGAGGCACACTGGTGTAGGGGCTAGAAATTCAGAATAGAGGGTGGATACCTTTGTCCACCACTTAAATGCATTTGCTATCAGAAAAGTGAGGCAACACTCAGCACAAAAGACCTCAACATTTGTAGCTCCCTTTGTCTAACAATACTCTGCAGTGCTTTCCCTGACATCGGGGAGCAGGGACTCCCTAGTCTCAACAGGAAGTATCTGCTTTTTGAAAGTTATTTTCTCTGCTTATTTTACACCATAGTGGGCT